GTAATCCATGCCATCTGATGGCGGTCAGGGAACACCGCCGAACGGCGAGATCTGCCTGGTGCTGGACGGCCGCCGCCAGATGGTCAGTGGCGCGACGGTCGAACGGCGAGATCGCCTTACCGCCGAAAGATCAGCCATCTGGCGGCGAGTTTCAAGCCCATTTGACCGATCGATCGATTTTTTGATTCATTGGTCAACTGGGCTTGAAACTCGCCGCCAGATGGGCTGTCGACGGTTTCATGAGACCGTACGTCGACTAGCTCTGGCCTCGCAGGTTGTTTCGCTTCGGGTTTGCTTCGATTACGGGCAAAAGATGGTTTTTTTTGGTTAAAATGATAATATTTCGTATTGCTCAATCGCTACAAACATATTAAGAATGATACATGTAAAGACACGATAAAGTAGAAGTCTATATACATATGATAATTGAGATGAAAAATAATGTAATAAAACAAAGATGACTGAGCAGCACTGAGCCACCTCAGGCTCCGGAAGCGTCTGCATTTGGTTGGGAAGAAGGGGGTAGTGCCAGTGGTAAGGCAGCAGCTGCTATAGTCACAGCTTCGTTGTCTGGTATTTTGAAGTTGGTAAGCTTTTGGATATCGGCCAGCTTGTTCTCACCGTTGAAGATTCGCTTGTCCTCGTCGAGGATAAGTTTGTAGAACCTATGAAAACGGTACATAAGTATGATGATTCAGACAATGAGAGATGGGTAACTCACGCTTCAGTGAATCGGGCCCCATTCAATCGCAAGTTACCGAGTTGTTGATCCACGGTTTTCCAGATCGAAGAGCCGTTTCCTTGGGTAGAAATCTCGAGAAATACAGCTTGCATTCTCTAAAAAAAAATGAAGATTTTGATAAGTGAACAGCAGAGCTGTAGATAAAGGCTGGATGAAACGATGCTTACCAAATATGCGTAGCGCGATCTCTTTGCGAGGTCGTTTGTAGCTTCGAGTACAACTTCTTCATCAGTTGCCGTTCTTTTGTCGAGACCAGGGAAGTCCGCCATCTAAGTGAAGTAAGTACACTCTGTCAACAACTTGTCTGGCTTGTAAGAGGAATTGAATCAAGACAATTGAACTTACAGAAAGATATATATTTTGTAAAGTTGGAAGTGGGTTTTCCACAAAGCCACGATTGGGGCTAGCATTGTGACGGAGCTAGAGAGATGGATACAATTTTCAGTGAGAGCATGTAGTTACATGAAAACTTACTTACGAGGTTATGTAGATTCTCTCGAACAATTTTGAGTCTTTTCTTGATGAAGGTGATGAGGTCCTTGGGAAAACGGGTTGTAGATCCTGGTAAAAAGTTCCTGGTCTTCCAAGCAGTATCCTGTCTTTGGAGTCGGATCTCATGGATGTAGGATTTGTTAGGTTTGAAGATGATTTAGGAAAGTGAATCAAAAGCGAGGTTACAAAAAAAGACTTACTTGAAGAATCATCTCAAGTGAGTGAGTGAGTGTTCTCTTCTCGCCTATTGTGGAGATAACACCCTTGGTAATGGTATACGCTTGAAGGGTAGGGTCACCGATAGACTCAAGGAGTATGTCGACACAAAATTTCTACAATAACTAGGTCAGTTTGAAGACTGGAGGAAATGAATTGAAAACAAAACTGACCTTGAGTTCTTCCGTTGGTTGCCACACAGTACCCGAAGTGGTTGAAGTGCTGTTGCTTGCTGAACTAGGAGCAGGATGGGATGTTGATATCTGATTGAGTCTCTGGACAATATCCTGATGACACTGAGCTGTGTACACAAGTAACGCGTTTAATCGAGGATCATTTTCCAATCGATTACTACAAATTCGAGCATGCTCTCGGTTTTCAGTGTTCAGACTAGCTTGAGTAGCAAGGGTATCAAAGACTGGAAGGGGTGCTAATTGAGTTGGGTTAGATTGATGGCCTGGGGGAATCTGTTGGTTCGAGGGTGATATTGATCAACGGTTATGGTGGTCTGATGCTTGAAAGCCACCTACATATACAGAATCAAGGTGCAAGATAAAATACAAAAGCAAGAAGAAGTGAGAACATATAAGAAGAAAACTTACGATTGGGGTTGGGAAAGCGTTGTGGTAAAGTGGTGGAGCTTCTATGACCTGCTGGGTTGCTGGGTCCCGAGTAAGGATCAAATCGACTATCCCGAGGCATAAATGAGTCGATGTTATATTGGTTCAAGCTGTGATCATTCGGGTTTAAAGGTCCACCTTTGAAAAAAAAATGTGAGATGTGAAGGGAAACAAAGATAAAAAAAATCCCATACGGAAAGGTGGAGCACCATTTCCATGAGAACTGTAATCGTATGGGGCAGAACCACCCTGTGACATGATAAAGGGTTTGGTGGAGTTTTGAGTTGACTGGTTGAGGTGAGGTGATGGAGAAGTGATGGAGAAGAAGAAACCAACTTGACCGTTTTTGGGGATATGTTGCATCACCGTGTCACCTGTTACAGTAATTACAAGTGTAACAAGTGACATGTTGAGCATCTGCTGTTCTCCTTCAACAGCATCCATTTTGGCAATGAAAGACTTGTGATAAGTCAGAAATCTCATGGGGAACATATATTTTGGTAGATGATATATTGGACAAATAATAAAGAAGGGTCAAATGATATTTGACTCTACCAAGAGCTTGAAGTAAACAAATACAAGTGAAAGACAAGTAAAAAAATATAAGATATCACTTTTTCTGTTTCTTTGCCTTTTCATCTGTCCACTTCTTTACGCCAACATTAATGGCCAGACTCCATTCTGCTGGTGTGATTTCCAACTGATCAATGTCAGCCAATCGCCGATGAGTT